ATTATTATTATCATTATTAAATATCCCTATTATGATTATTATATTTAAAAGTTCTGCACATAAAACAAAAATTGTAAAGACACATTGCGAATGCGATGTGTTTCAAAGCAAAACAAAAAAAAAAAGAAAACAAAACAAGATAAAACCAAACAAAAAAGAAAAACCGACAAACCAACAACAAAAAACTGTAATATTATTCATTATCATATACTTACTAGATGCATATATGCAATTCCTGCCATTTATTAGTGTACATATTATATACATATATCTCTATTCATATATATATATGGATGGATATGTGGTTTCTTTTCGTTAGTTTATTCCGGCAAAGGATGCTCCCATTGGTCCCAGATCTTCTTCAATTCCCTTTATTTAAGTCTTAAATCTTAAACGTACTGCCATTTTGAGAGAGGTTTTTAAAATCGAAAAAATAAGAAACAAGAAAAAACATTTAGACTTTGTATATGTATAACATTTAGGCTGTTCTCTTCTTTATTTGTATGTATTTTTTGTAAGAGCTAAGAAATCAGAAATTTGTGAAGATATGGCAGCCTTATGCGTCGTCCTTGTGTGCGCCAGTGTTGGCTAAGTTTTCTCGACTATCAACTGCAAAATTGAATATTTCCCCTCCCTTTCCCTCCCTCCCACAAACAAGCACAATCATCAATCTCGTTAGCAGCTGAGAGAGAAAGAGAGAGCGATAGATAGCGATTTGGCAGCTGCTTTGAAGCCCACCTTACACCTATACAGACACACATACACACACACACAGACGCTTGCATGCTGTATGCACGCACGCACGCACACACATACATAAATATGCAAATGCATAGCAAGGAGATGAACAAATGTTAGAATGTCGAAAGTAAAACCAATAAGAATTATGAAATTTATGCACTCATCTGTTGAATACATATATATGTATGTATATATATATATAAATACGTGTAGGTAATATATGAACTAATTGATAAATATGCAAGCGTGCAGATGTACAAACATACATATGACTGCAGTTGTGCGTGCGTGTGTAAAACAGTAAAAAAAAAAAAAATAAGACAAAACAAATGTTAGGTTAGGCTTAAGCTCTAAGACTTACAAACCCACACACACACATATATATATACATACATATGTATGTTTGTAGCACACACACATACAGTCAGCCACTGACAGGACGCATACTAGTTAAACCAGATTCAATATTAGTGTTGAGGTTATGAAGTAAATTTTCCAATATCCGATCACTGTTTGCCTAGCCAAGTAAGTTGTAATATGTAAATGTCTTTTTTTTTATATATATACACACACACACATACATATATATATATAATAGCATTGTATTTAGTTTGTGTATTTCTCAAAGTGCATGCATATGTGTGTGTGCATATGTATGTATATCGATGTACAACTATCGGCTACATCGATTGTTACACACGATATATGTATGTAGCCAATTCTTAAAAGACGAGCTACGAGGATACGATAAATATATATCTATATATATATGTGTATGTATGGTAAAAAATTTATAGTTATTTAAGATGAATTCGTAACAAATTTATTATATGCATAAAACGTAAACTTAACTGATGTGTAATGTATACCTAGCAAATTGATGCGTAAGACGAATAACGATCATTATGTGAATGATGATAATGATAATGATGAAGTGAAAGCCGTTGCATTAGCAACCGCCTAATAAACGCCGTGTTTTATGCACGCAAAAAAAAAACATTAAACAATACAAAACCAAAAAAGACAAATACAAAACAGGAACTTAGAAAAACAATGCCAAATATATATGTATGTATGTATGCGTATGTTATGTATGTCTCTGCTTGATAACGGCTTCAGCACGCTTCACCACTTGATGTAGGTGAACTTGAAGGTCTTGGGATCGCTGGCCTCGCACACATACAGCATCAGGATCTTGCAGTGGGCATCGTTGATCAGCTCCCGTGTGCTGAACATGTGGACACAGTTCTCGTTGCCGCCGTAATTGTCGGGCATCTGTTTGGGCCCGTTCCAGGGGGCGTAGGTCATGGGGCGGCCCGTCGAGAGCCAGTAGAAGGCACCCTCGGTGCCGAGATCATTGCCAGAGATCCAGAAGTAGTCGTTGTTCTTGAAGCCCTTGGCCTTGATGTGCTTGACCAGGGCCTCCATTTCCGGCTTGTCCTCAATGGAGGCCAGGTGGGCGTTCATCATCCGGCAGGAGGCCGCTGCCTGGAACCAGTTCACCTTGTTCATCGGCTCGATATAATAATAGTTATCGCCGATCCGCACAAACGGCGTTGTGTCAATGTCCGAGGGTATGCCTATCGAAAAAAAAAAAAAATCGAAAACGAAAACGAAAACTGTGAAACGGAATCAGGACTGGAAGAGAGAGTAACCGTTAGCTAACCATTGTAGACCTCGGTGCGATAATTGGTGAATATATTGACATCCGGCAGGTAAGTGAACGCTGGCGCCACAAGGCTGGACAGGATTATCACACGCAACATGATGAAACACTTTTCGCTTTCGGACTGCATCTTGGCCAATTCAAGCTCGATCTATTTGGCTAACGCTGGGCAACTGTCGGAAATGCCAGTCGGCATTGGGCTTTTATGCGCTACCTGCCCAATATCATGCGCCATTCCAGGCTGCCAATCTCGGTATGCGACGGCACCTGCATTGCGCAAAGCAGCTGCATAAACAATTCCACAGAAATCCAACCATCGCAAAAATATGTGATCTATACCTAGATCTGGCTACTTAAATGTAACTCTAGCTCTGTTTACCCCTAATCCATTCGAATTAATGAATTCAGGGTAAACAAAAAATACCCATTTTCAATTTTTGAATGCAGAGTATAACCGATTTGTAACATTTGATGTTACAGGCTGAAAGAGGCGTGGCATGTAGTCTATATATATGTATATACATAGGTATGGATCTCTTTAAATAGACCCTTGCTCAAAAGGACGGGCTAAATGAATCAAGTTCCTCTGTCCGTCTTATATTACTATACATCACTGTTATTTGAATAATTAGATCGATAATAATCGATTTAGTTTGGCTTCGATTTTTGATATTTCATACCTCGCTTTGAAATTGAAGAGAATTATACTGTGCCAAGAGTGTTAGGGTATCCCTTAGTCGGCCCTCCCCGACTAGAGCGCGTATAACATATGGATTTTCGTAGATTTACTTGCTAAGCCTCATATTGATGACATATTTCTATTTCAAGCAATTTTTCTAACTGCTTCCATGAAAATACCCTGTAAATTGGATCTATAGAGCGGTATACTTTAAAATATGTATCAATTTTACGCATATGTATTTGCGTATAAATTTATTTTTATGTTTATATTTCCACATAAAATATAATATTTTAGTATAACATTCAAGTTACTGCTTCAGCTCTTCTTCTTGCCTTTTCGAAATTCAGCTAAGACTTGATTGTTATACATATAAATATTATTTGTATTGTGGTGAATATCTTTTCGTATCCATTCGTTCAAGAACGTGTTCTCGAACATCGGGAGCTGGCAAAGTCTAATTATGAGGCAAACAACAATTGTTAGGCCAGAGGCGCAGCTCGCCAAAGCGATAAGCGTGTGATTTGTTCGGAAAGAGTTGACTGGCTGGTTTCGCTTCCCAGTCGATCATAAAACAACAAACGGCGCAGGCGCCTAGCGCTAGCCAGTCAGAAGTGTGGTCTGGAGCAGAGCAGCAGCACCAGTAGCACCAGTAGCAGCAGTAGCAGCGGCAGAAGAAGAAAGTGAACGCCAGAAAAACGAAAAACGAGGAGAAAATGCCAAACGCTTTGTTGTTGTTCCTATTGGGCCTCGCGATGGCGACACCTAGCGGCGCTGCGGGTAAACTACAAAATTTCACTTTCACAAAATTCCCATTTGTTAAAAGTCCCATTTGAACATCTAGTATAAATTGTATGCCTTCTCATTAGCAGCGGCTCAGCCTGCCATTCGACCACAATCGCAGCGCGGCATCATCTTTCCCAAGGAAACCTTCGACGAATGCTTTCTGGATGGGGAGCAGAAGATGCCAGGTAGCTGCAAACTGCTGCAGGATTGCCCCGCTGCCATAAAGCAAGCAATGCCCAAGACCTGTTACTTTGTCAAATTCGATCAGTATGTGTGCTGTGCTTCCAACTCTAGCCAACCCGACGATGACTCACAGGTGGAGCCAACAACACTAAAGCCGCCCGTAAAACGGAAGAGCGATAAAGGTTTGTAGGGCAGATATGCATCTAAAATCAGTTGCTAACAGTCGTTGATTCGTCTCTTACAGTTTGCGAGGAATTTAACTTCTTCGTCGCCTCCGTTGTGGGTGGCCGTCTGACCAAACACCGAGAGTTTCCCTTTATGGCCGCCCTCGGCTGGCGCTCCAACTTCGATCAAAGCATTTACTATCGCTGTGGCGGCAGTCTCATAGCGCCCAATTTCGTGCTCACAGCGGCGCACTGCATCGACTTTGGTGGACAGAGGCCCGTAATAGTGCGACTAGGCGGCGATAATCTGACCGTTAGCATGGATGCAGTTCATCACGATTATCGAATCCGTCGTATATTTATCCATCCCGGCTACAACGAGAATACCGCCTACAATGATATTGCGCTGCTTGAGCTGGAAGGGCACGTGCCACCCATTCTACGGCCCGTCTGTCTCTGGCAGGATGCGAAGTTGGCCAAGAAGGATCTGATTGCCGTTGGCTACGGGCAGATAAGCTTTGCGGGTCTCTCCTCGTCGCAGTTGCTCAAGGTGGATCTACAGCACATCAGCAACGACCAGTGCCGAGAATACTACTCACGCGAACAGCTACCCAAGGGCCTGGCTGCCAGCCAAGTGTGTGCCGGCGACTTGAGCGGCAAGGCTGACACCTGCCAGGGTGACTCCGGTGGGCCGCTGGTCATGAGACTTGATGGCAGCACATGGTATCTGGTGGGCATCACGTCGTTGGGCCAGGGCTGTGCCATCGGCCCGCCCAGCATCTATACGCGCGTGTCCAGCTATTTGGACTGGATCGAGAGCATTGTCTGGCCCCAGTCGGAGGATCAGACAGTGGATCCCACGTTCGATCTGCGCATATCCTTCTGAGAGCTGAGTGCCGGGAAGTCACAGCTCTCGCTTGGGAACGACCCACATTCATTCAATAAGCGGGAATTTACCGCTGATTCATCTATTTTCAAACGTTACTCAAGCGGCAAGTCTGTGCTTCACCGATCAATCAATTGGAGCATGGAATCTTTATTTAATTGTCGATTGTCTTCATTAAATATATTTATTTTGTATTTATTTTCCAATTTCTTATTGAGTTTTCATTACTTGTAAATGTTAATTCATTCAAAAAATGCGAATTAATTTTTTAACTATGTTAGTTTTTATTATTTATGTCTTATATACATACATACATATGTATATATATAGTGTATAATATTATTATGGGAAGCACTCGGGGTGTGCTTTCCAGAGTTTCCTTCTGCATATTTTTATGAAGCATACTTTTAGATGCCATCCATATAAATATACCCAAGGAATGCTGCACGCAAAACCGGTAAAGTAGATAACGATTATACTTGATGTGAAATTCGAATCTTGAATAATAAGAAATAAATAATT